TTCAAGATCCGCGATCTTCAACAGACTGCTGTCACTGTCACTGCTCGCCATGTTGCTCCTCTTCAACCGTTAGCTGCAGCGGAGCCACAATTACCCCGTCCATTTGGGTGGCTACCTCCGGTGCAGTGGTCGCCAATTCCTCTGGTGCAGTACATGCCACTTCCTCCGGTGCTGCCTCCGGTGCAGTGGTCGCCACTTCCTCCAGTGCTGCCTCCGGTGCAGTGGTCGCCACTTCCTCCAGTGCTGCCTCCGGTGTCTCCACTACTCCACCACCGGTGGAGTAGTGACTACACTATCTCTAGTGACTCCGCAGCCGACGGCGGGTAGCTTCGTAAACGCCGCGAGCTGCGTCAGTAGCTCGTCATTCGTCCCAAGGAGTTCGTTCACCTTCGTCTCCAGAGCGCGTTTTTCTTTTCTTAGTGTGACGACCTCCTCATCAAGTAGCCTGAGCTCCTTATGAGTCTTCATCAATTTTTTTTTGGCTAACTGATTCTGGTGCTCCAGCACTTCCTCGTGCAAGGCATGCCGCACTGTGTGTTCCTTTAAGCAGTCAGGACAGTCGTGGCTGTATTCGTCACAGTCTTCGCAGTACCAGTAGTCTCCGAGAATTTCGAGGTGGTCGAGGTAGCTCTCGTAATTGCCGCGGAAGCGACCGCAATCACATGACAATACGCCCGCGGAATTCTTGGGACCCCAGTGCCTGCTGTGGCAATGGCTGATGAAGCCCTCGAAGGTTTTGAGCAACTTGCAACAGTAAAAGTATTGATCGAATTCGCTGCTGTCGTTACCGCATCCCATGGTCCGATAGTGCTGGAATGACTCTACCGGGTTGGCAAATGACGCGTCACATGAATCACAGTAAACGTACCAACACCGTTCTCTCTTGCAGTGGTCCTGCCACACTTTTTCCTTCTTAGTTCGGAAGTGGCAAAAATTACACACCACTGACTTGCCTTGCGTCTGCATCAACTATTACCTAACATTACTTTTAACGTTAGATTTAGTGGACAAAACAAACCCCGTCATCAACCCTCGGAACTCAAAGAAACTGGGACTGGGGCTGGGACTGAGACCGAGGGTATTTTAACTGCGGATGCAGCACGCCTC